TGGAAAAAGTGCCAATTTCTGCAGACAAAGATCCATTTCCTTGGCCACACAGTGGAAAATGGACACATAACGCCTGGAATTGAGAAGACGAAAGCCATTTCCAAATTTTCGGTGCCATATAACGTTAAGGCTGTACAGTCATTCCTGGGATTAACGGGCTATTTCCGGAGATACATACAGACGCATCTAAAGATGGATTTTGCTGCAGCACTTCTACAGTGGAACGACGCCAGCCTATATCCGGTTTCCTTTTGGAGCAAAAGGACCACTGAGGCAGAAGCTCGTCAGCACAGCTATATTCTGGAGGCAAAAGCGATTTTCTTGGCATGTAAGAAGTTCCAACAGTATATATTGGGAGAACCATTCACGCTTATAACCGATTGCGCGGCATTCAAGCAAACGCTTTCCAAAAAAAGACGTACCAGGTGAAGTTGCACAATGGGTCCTATACTTGAAGGACTTCGAGTATAAAGTGGAGCACAGGAGTGGAGATCGTCTTAGGCACGTCGATTGTCTGAGTCGCTACCCACTGCAAGTAATGGTGGTCACGTCAGAAGTCTCAGCCCGTATAAAAGCAGATCAACAAAAAGATTGTATGATCAAAGCTATTTTTGAGATTCTAACCAGCCGCCCCTATGACAATTTTAAAATCAAAGGAGGATTGCTGTTCAAGTCGATAGAAGGAACTGATCTGCTGGTTATACCAAAGTCGATGGAGCGAGAAATAATTGTCGACGCTCACAATGTTGGACACTGGGCTGTTCAAAAGACAACGCACTTGATCAAGCAAAGCTATTGGATACCACATTTGGAAGGAAAAGTTGCTCATGTTATCGCGAATTGTATTAAATGTATTGTCCACAACAAACAGTTGGGTAAAAAGGAAGGCTTTCTTCATCCCGTCGAGAAAGGAGGAGAGCCATTGCACACATTGCATGTTGACCATCTCGGACCTATGGACGCCACACCGAAGCAATATAAATACATTTTTGCTATAGTCGACGCATTTACTAAGTTCGTGTGGCTGTATCCGACAAAGACAACAAGCTGCAAAGAAGTTCTTAAAAAGCTCGACAGCTGGTCGGAAATCTTCGGTAATCCCAGTCGCATCATCAGTGACCGAGGGTCTGCGTTTACATCTTCAGCTTTCGAGGAGTACATGAGCAAAAATGGTATCGAGCATGTTTGGAGCACCACCGGAGTGCCCAGAGGAAACGGCCAAGTAGAGCGCGTTAACCGGTCGATATTCATGTATCAACAAAAAAGTCGTCATTCGAACTCATGTTTGGCGTAAAGATGAGAACTACGGCAGAAAATGAGGTGTTGCAACTGCTGGAAAAGGAGATATGCGACAACTTTGATGAAGAAAGGCAGAAAATAAGACAAGCAGCGAAGGAGGACATACAGAGAGCACAGGAAAGATACAAAAAGGAGTTCGATAAAAAGAGGAAGAACGAATATGGTTATAAATTGGGTGGCCTAGTCGCAATCCGCCGAACACAATTCGTAGCTGGGAGAAAGCTAGGCAGCAGCCAGAGGGAGGGAAATTCCAAAATATACATTTTCTGCGTATTCAGGGCATCTTGGACTAAAATTTGGTGTTCCTAGGTCTTATAGTCTCCGAGATATAGGCGATTATAGGAATGGAAAATCGGGAAAACCCCCATAGGGGGAAGTGGGGGGAAAATCAAAAAAATAAAACAAACTCGTATAGAATACACACGGAACGCATCTTTGTGCAAAATATGGTGTCTATCTCTTATAGTCTCTGAGATCCAGGTGTTCATACGGACGGACGGACAGACAGACAGGGCTAGATCGACTCGTCTCGTCATGCTGATCAAGAATATATATACTTTGTGGGGTTTGCCACGCCTCCTTCTGCCTGTTACATTTTTCAGCTCCCGCAAACCTAATATACTTCTGTACATTTCATGTACAGAGTATAAAAAACAAAACAAATGGTTTTTTCGGCAAAATCAATTTGTTTCATTCAAAATAGTCTCCTTCTGCTTCAATACAGCTTTTTGCACGATCCAAAAGCATGTCGAACTAGTGGTTTAGCTTGTTGGCCGGTATGACCGCCAGTATGCCTTTTGAATGGCCTCTACGTCTGCATAACGCTTTCCTTTCATGGGCAAATGCATTTTTCCGAAAAGGTAGAAGCCGCACGTTGCCATATCAGGTGAATACGGCGAGTGGTTAATGGTTAAAATGTGATTTTTGGTCAAATAATCGGTCACAAGCGTCGATCGATGAAAAGCAATTTTTGGTCGTCAGTCAATTTGTGGGGAACAAACCGTGCACACACCTTTCGTAAGGCCAAATGTTCGGTCAAAATGCGATAAATCGATGTTTTGGAGATGTTCAATTCCATTTCCATCAATTTCAATGATAATTTCGGCTGATTTTTGATGAATTCACGCACAGTTTCGATGGAATTTTCGGTGATCACGAATTTTGATTGGCCCACATGTTGATCGTCATTTATGTCCTCACGACCACTTTGAAAACGTTGAAACCACTCGTGCACTCTGCTACGGGACAGGCAATCATCGCCATAAACGTGTTCCATCAATTGAAACGTTTCGGTAAAAGTTTTACCAATTTTAAAACAAAATTTAATGTTGCCTCTTTGTCCGAAGCTCATTTTCGCACCGATAACACAAACATACTGACACTTAAAACGCAATAACTTCACTTCCAATTGATGAAATGTCATGAAATGGACAATCGATAAAGATAGCAGATTCTAACGCACCAGTCGACATATAGATAGCGCTACCAGGGGGCGCTAGATTCAAAAAGTCCTGTTTACTTTGGAATGCACCTTGTAACACTCAAAAATATTTATTAAATTTTTAGTGAATGAATAAAAAATAAAAAATAATCATTATTTTAATAGCACTTATACAGCCCATGCTTTATATGTATACACGTATTGTTAAGAGAAATACTACTTTCGTGTACAACCAAACCTATGTAGATACGTATGTTTGCTAGTTAGATTGCCTAACTCATAATTCCACTTACCTGCCCCTTTCACTTGCACACATGCCCTTGACAGCCCAATCTATAGAAAAACGCTTCACTGTAGTTTTCTTAGTACTGAACTTTCATTTTATTTTGTGTATTCATTCGTTTTTATTTAAGTACTTGGTTGGATGCTAGTTTTACTCTTTGCTTAGCTGCTTAATTCGACCAATTAATATCCACACAATGCAATAATTACGTATTGCCCCTTTCGATTAGTTTTTGAAAACTACATATTTTACTTATTTGTGCGCGCTTTCAGTTGTCAGGCACACAGACACAGACACACACACATATATATATATATATATATATATATATATATATATATATATATATATATATATATATATATATATATATATATATATATATATATATATATATATATATATATATATATGGCACTTATAGCACTTATATATATATATATATATATATATATATATATATATATATATATATATACTATATATATACTAATAATATAATAATAACTTAAGGTAAATAACAATCACATTTACTTATTCATTTCTGTTTTTGTGTTCTGTCGACTTCATTTTAGTTGTTTTGTCTTAGCCATCCCATTATTAAAAAAACAAACACATTTGCACGTTCCTATCTTAATAGATTTATTTATTTATCAATACTGGCATTGCCATGCATGCCAATCAAAAAAATTGTCAATAAAACAATGTAAACAATGAAACAAACTTTATATTTTGCATTCAGAATATGCATTGCTATTCTACGATACCTCCACGAAAGGTAAACAAATATGCTGGTCTTGTCCGTGCAACATCGCGCATCATTGTCTCATAGGTGGCATGGCCCAGACTATGTTTGTTTGTATATGTATAACTTGCTATATCCTTTGATTATTGTATATATTTTCCTACATTTCAAATGCGCGCCATTCAAATGCGTATATTTGTTTTAATTTTTTTATCGTGCACAATATTTTCTCCCGTTTTCCAATCAATTGTAATATTTTGCCCTGCTTGGCTTATTTTGTTTAGTTTACATGAATTTTATATTTGTTTTTTAATAAAAACAAGCTTTATTTATATATACATACTCGTATATAATAAATAGCTCGTTTTAATACTAGTATGTAGTTTAGTTTACTATGTTAATATAATAAAATTATTATAATAATTATAATTATATATATATATGTATATATTTTATGTATATATGGATATACGGATTGGTATATATATATATATATATATATATATATATATATATATATATATATATATATATATATTTATATATATATATATTTGTTTTTAATACTTTAAATTCTTCTTTCCTTTCCATTTTTTCTTCAGTTTTAGTTTATATTCTTTTTTTTTTTTGAAGTTAAAGACCTCGCTTTCTTGCTTTTCTTATTAAGTTTCTTTAAAAATCAATACTATTTGCCAATTATTTTGTTTTTCTTCCAAAGTGTTCTTACAAAATGTTTCATCATATTTAATTGTTCTTTACACATTTCAATGAAACTTCATAATACAATAGAATAGGTGACATTTTACCATCTTTTCAGTTACTTTTGGCCATTTTTGAGTTTAAAAAAATTTGTATTTAATTATTAATAATTATCTCATAATTCTATATATTTATTCTGACTCTACGCTCCATGATCGGTTTATTTTGTAAATAGTTGTTGTTATACCTATAGTAAGTATATAGACATTGAAATAGCTTATTGGCACAGGCGTTGTATTTAGTTCCGCAGCTCGCGGCACTTTGTGGGTTTGGGTACTTGAACGGGATAATTTGTCGATTTGTTCCTATTCAGAAGGCTTATAGCACATCGCACTGAATGTGAGAGCCTAAAATATCTTCATTTTACTAAAATCCACACTGTAATGGACATGAACTTAGCATTTGTCAGAGTAGCCGCAAAAATTACAGAAGCGATATTTCTGCAAACTTTACGTTTTTATGCATTAGGTAGAAAATATTTTGAAACGGTTAATAGCGACAGAGATACTCGTATATATTTAAAGTTTCCCAGAAGAAGCTAACATAAAAAAAAACTATCCCCTGTAAAATATATTTTGTTCCCGCTTACGTTATTTTTGCTAGAGCCCGGTATTTAAATGTCTGTTTAATCCGCTTTCCAGTATTGTTTTATAATTTTATACCACGTTCGGAAAGATAATCGACCGGATATTTAAGGATCATTAATCTGCTCATAAATATCGCTGCTCACGGCATTTCCTTTCTGCTGTATTATTGTGGTTGTGCGTGCGTGTGTGTGCGTGCGTGTGAGTGCGTGTGTGTGTGTGTGTGTATGCGACGCAGACGAAAGCGCTACAAACAATTTTTTGGCCGCGTGTAGAGAAACAATTAATTATCATTTATTCATATTGATAAACGCTTTTAATTAATGTTATTTGTATTATTATTGAAAAACCAACAACAGTTAAGTGGAAAATTGTTTTGTTGTTTTATCAATTCGTTCATTGTGTTGATTTGCTTGCACATTTTGTTCACTTCACTTTATTTTGATTTCTTTGTGCAAGTTGTCTGGCCATCAACATTTAAAATTTTCCTTTTCCTTTTTTTATTGCTTGCTGATAGCTAGACATTTTTGAAATCATCTACGTCATTCCCTATTCCCCGCCCTTCCTGCTCTAATAGATCTACTACGCCTATAAGAGTCAAAGATCTGCAAAAAAAAACAATCAGAATCACTTAAAACTGCACCTAAAAAGTGTGTCCTCTACCATTGTGGCTGTAAAATAGCTGCTTACCTTCCTTCGCAAATGAAGTGTAATTAACTGCCACTGACGTTGACTCCCATGGCGAGAGCCACGGCAGGCAGCGGTGCATGGATGCCATTGGTGAGCGCTGCGCCGTAGAGCGATGGGGGCGATGGAGGCGGGAGCGCCGAGTTGTTTTCCGGAGAGGCAGGCGCTGACGCTGGTGGTGTAAGAGTGACCGGCAGCTCCTTACCGGTACCGATGGCCTCCATTAATACTCGTGGCTGCTGCTGTGGTGGGTGTGTTGGAGCAACAAAGCAACTGACTGGCAACTTCGAGTTGGCAATATTGCCGTTGCCGTTGGCATTGGTTAGACCAATACTTATCTGCTGTTCATGCCCGGCTTTCAGCTCCTGCTCCTGCTCCTGCTCAGACTCAGGTTGACCGTGGCCATTGCCATTGGCATCGACATCGGCTTGAAGTGGTGGCGGTGGTGGTGGCGGTGGCAATGAGTCCATTTGATTTGACTCGATGAACGTGAAATCGTTCAGCTCTTTGATTTCCTCAGTCGATGGCGGTGCCGGGAGACTCATCAGGCTATCGTAGGCAATCTCCTGCTTCTGTTCCTGTTCCTGCTTCAGCGTTGGCTCCGCTAATTTCTCTGGCTTCTCTTCTGTCAAGTTATGAAACTCTGATGGCTGCTGCTCCTGTTCGGTTAGTTGGTTAGTTGAGTTGTGTGCATCTTTATTATCAGTCTCAGCATTGTGGTTGCCAATCACTTTGGGCACCAGCAGCGGAGTTTCCTGCAACCTAGCCTCTGTTATATCTGCGACATTTGGCTTGACATTTTGTATAGTAGCTTGATTAGGCTTGTCGTCTTCATCTAGAGGCTTTGCTACATGCTCTAGATTGTTTCCATTCTCGGACTTGCGGTCGTTGTCATCGGGCTCAGCTGCCACTCGGCTTGAAATAAGCAGAGGGTGTGCTGTGGGGGAGCTGGTTGCATATCCCTGCTGTTCGATGATGTAGAGCTCCTGATTGCCATAGGAGTAGCGTTTATTAGAGTCACTGGAGGATGTGCTACTGAGATCCGATTGGGAGAGACCTGTATTTAAGTTAAGTGGCAGCTCATTAGACTCATCCTCATCCCGTTGGCCATCCTGTAAATCGTTCTGTACTATCTGATGCACTGGTGCCAAGCACGTCTCTTCTTCCTGTAGCTCTTCGATAAGTTGTAGACCACCACGCTGATGTTGTTGCTGTAGCTCCTCAATATTGGCGCCATTTCCGTAGTCAATGCCAATGGGTGGCGCATGTATTTGCACTTGCTCGCAACTGGGTGGTAATGTCTGCAAGTCAACGGCGTGAACGCCATTTGCTTGTTTAGTATCGAAGGGGAGCTCGGTAGTCTCGACGCCGGGGCTGTCAGGTAGCTGCTTGGCATCAATGCCGCGTGCCACCTCCACAATAAAGACGCCATCCTTGTCGGTATGCATTTTGGTCTCGCGAGCGTTGCGTGAAATGTCCTGTGAATAGAAAATGCAGAAAAAATGGAAGATGCATGACACAAAATTAACGCTAAAGGACAATGTGATCTTTTCTTGGGCTCTATGGCCATCTATTGGTGCTGCGACAAGCATTGGTCACATACAATAACAACAAAAATATCAACAACAGCAAGAAAAATAAGCAGCAAAACAATAATGAAGTTCGAGTACTAAAAAGATTGAGAAAGAACGTGAAAGCAGTTGGGGAAAGGTCGTTTCACAAATCGCCTGGCTGTTATGAGTAAGGTGTCGAAAACTACATTGCATATGCTTTCTGTATATATTCGCCTCATACATCGGTATATAAAAAGATGGAGAGACAGGCCGAGATAGGGAATCTGTCACTTGGTCAGAGGAGCTGCCAGATAAAAAGTTTACAACTCTCAGGGGCCGGCAATAAAACCAAAATTTTATATTTGTACCAAAAAGCATGAAGTTACCTGCTGAACGAATACCGCGACCAAAATTACAATTATAATTTTATTGACTGAGTTTTTCCTGCACATTCTTGGATGGGGCAGTAGCCAAAACAAGAACGTCGCTACAGCTCGGGCTCAGTTTGTGGTTGTTATAATACCAACGTACTTATGCAAATAATGGTGTGAAAGGAGTAAATTATATGACTATTCGAATATGACAGGCATCAATATACCATTTAGCATGTCTCAAAACATAAATTGCCTCTTTTTATACCCTGTACCCGTAGGGTAAAAAGGGTATATTAGGTTTGTGCAAAGTATGTAACATACAAAAGGAAGCATCTCCGACCCCATAAAGTATATATATTATTGATCAGCATGACGAGAGAAATCGATCTAGACATGTCCGTCCGTCTGTCCGTCCGTCTGTCCGTCCGTCTGTCCGTCCGTCCGTCTGTCCGTCTGGATGAACGCGAGGATCTCAGAAACTATAAAAGCTAGAATAACCAAAGTTGGCAGATTCCAGATTATCCTAGGTCCGAGTAAGGACGAGTTTATTTTTTTTTTTAATTTTCCCCCCCTTCCCCCGCTGCAGAATTTCATCAATAGCGTCCACATTTCAAATGCTACCTAAATTAAACTTTGCACACATAATTTATAAATAAATATCTACTGTTGTTTAAAATTTTATTCACTTTGCACAAACCTAATATACCCTTTTTACCCTACGGGCACAGGGTATAAAAATCAAAAATCGTATGCTTACGATAAATATATTGGAGCCAAATTTCATTTTGTTTGAAGCCGCGAATGGTGACTCTGTGAGATTGCACGACCACATGTATACGGTTGGCCCCCATGACAATGGAGAAATAAGGTATGTTGTAAGGCACAGTAATGAGCATATACTAGTATATGCGTATATGCTCATGTATACTTGTATATATATGAGCATAAACTATGTACTTAGTTTCGGCGCAGGTAAAGATAATTCAGCCAGATTATATAGTATTTCTTGTAATTGGATCACGAATTCAAGACTAATCCATAACAAAATTTATCATTACATCATTACAGTATTGGAACGGTAAATTTGTGGAGTACAAAAGGAAAGAGAAGAAGCCATATACGATTATATCAAAAAGTACGAAAATGTTAAACTCCAGCAATAACAATATTATCACAATACTATGCAAAAGTTCATAGGTTTAAGCAGGCAATAATCATATCAACAATATGAAATAAAATGTCGTACTTCTACAACAACTATTAAATGATCTAACGAGAAATTGGTACTAGCATTCAGACAAACGGCAGATAAGAGCAATAGAGCAATAGAGATGACATCGTTGCAAACGGAGGCACAACAATTATTTACCAGTGTGCAAAATCGTTCATGTGTGTGTAGGAGTATATGTGTAATTGTAAAGGTGTAACCGGTTGTGTGCTAGTATACTCATTTGATCAAAGTCCATGCTAAGAGTGTGCGAGAGAAAGAGAGAGAGGAAGAGAGCTGACAGTAGGGCGCAGCCAGTCATCAACCACGAATAAAAAATCATCACTTACATGCCGCTCTTCGGTGACTACAATCAGATGATTATCTTTTAGCGTCATCTTCGTAACGGAACCATTTGGCATGCCATACGGGTCGTCGCTCGTGGCTGTCTGGTTATCCCCTGACATCACGGCTGCGCGCTTATGTTGAAACTCACTTATTGCTGTCGAGGCTGCTGTCTGAGTTGACGTATATTGAGTGAACCTGGACCGGGTCTGGGATTGGGACTGGGTCAGTTGCAGTTGTCTGGGCGGCTGCAATAGAGTCAATGAACAGGGTACTTTCACAGGGACCCAGGCACGAGTTTTAAGTGCACTGCAGCGCTCGCCAAACTGCAAACAGCTACATGAACTAACTGCATTTAATGTTCTTGTCATTTACACCCCCACGCACAGACACAGACACATCCAAACACAATACAAGTACATGCGCACATTCACGGGACGAACTCATTTAATTTCATTTCAAGTCAGCAGCATTGGCAGAAACGGCAGCAGCGCAAATAGTTACAGCTCTCGTCCAACTATTTTAGCACAATAAAATTACGAGTGGAAATTTGACGAAGCGTAAAATGCGCCGAGGGTCTGTCAGCGCGAGAAAAATTGAGATAGACGGAGGGCCACAATTGGAGAGCGCGCAAGAGATAGAAAGGAAATAACGGCAATTCATGGCCGGCAGCAGTAGCACTGAAGTGCATGCGTTCAAACAACAATCGTCTCTCTATTCCTCTATCTCTGCCTGTACCGAAGCTCTCAGCCGTTTAGCAGGCATTGTTTGAAGTTGATGCACGCTCGCAGGTGGGTTGCAAGCTATGTATAGTATGTATGTACAATACATACATAAGTGCAGCTCGTGTCAACAAAATTCGACTTTCAAATTCATCATTAAACTTTTGGCTAGTTACTTACCTCAGCAGCATTCAAGCACCGTCTCTCGCCTCCTGCCTCTCCTCCGTGCTCGCTTTCGTTGGCGTTGAAGCTGACGTTGCCATTGTGGTTTCCATTCCCGTTCTCATTGCCATGGCGTTCGTAATCGCCATCGACGCTCTGTGACGCTTTCCTATTGAGCAAGTAGCTATAAAAGACAAAAGTTTATGTGTTTATTTTAAGTACGGCAGCTCATCGGCGCACGCTCCATATTCAATGCATTTCTAATGAAAAGCATTTCCTATGTGCCTTCTGGCACGAGCAGTGGTTGTGGTTACGGTTGTGTCTGCGACAGTTTTTAGTGCGAGTACGTAGAAACGTCTCAAAAACGTACACGTGTGCGAAAGGAGTCGAAGTGTCGCAATGTCTCAGAAGCAAAACTATCTTTTGTTGCCTACTTTCTGGCAAACAAGGTGCTTTGACGCAGTGGCCGTTTCTCCACCGAATTCCAGCTCATCGCTTAACTAGCAAGCACAGTTTACGTGAAATACTGGGCATAAACAGTTAAAGCATAGGAGCTTGAATAACTAAACTTTTTACGAGGTTACAGTTCTTCTTTCTGAAAGTCCCAAGAGTATATAAGGTTTGCGGGAAGTGAAAAATGTAAGAGGGAGGAAGAGGTGTGGCAGACCCTACAAAGTATATAAGAACGACAAGACGCATCGATTTAGTACGGTCTGTCCATAGGAATACCTGGATCTCAGGGACTTTAAGAGCTAGAGACACTAAATTTTACACAAAGATGTCTTATGTGTGTACGCAGTGCAAGTTTGTTTTATTCCCCCGATAATGAGATTTACCGTAGCGTAATATAATCATCTATATCTCGGAGACAACACAAAATTTTAGTCCATGTCTTATATGAAAACGCAGGAAATGTGTATTTCCTCCCTCCTCCTTATCCCGCGAAATAATTGATTTTCCATAACGCCCGTATTCTTCGAATTTTCGACTCATATTTAACAAATTCCTCCAGTTCATGTTTATGTGTCCGTGTGCCAAGTTTCTTCGTGACTGGTCAATTTGAAATGAAGCTATAGCCATAATTGTAATCTCTTCCCAAGCGCTGCCCGTTGCTGTTGTTTGTTGTTGCTGCTTTGTCTCAACTCTGTACTGCATACATGCCCACACACAACACGCGTAGACTCACAAGACACATTGTACATAATAGTATAAAATAGCTTAACAAATATTTATAAGTTTCCTTTTTTGTAGAAGTGGGTATTTAAGATTCGGGTCCTCTAGCTTTCCCATTTTTTTGGCTAGGGTATTTTGTTGTTGGGCTTGCTCGACTGTGTCATTCGGTCTGGATTTTCTTTCCTTTTAATGTGTGTGCATGTGGCTTGGAAATATGCCAAAACATTTGCCGAATTTCCGCCAAGAAGTTGAGAAGCTGCGCAAGTAACTGCTAAGGCCTGTCTACCCTCCTTTTAATAGACACATACAGGCAGTCACGTAAAGACGAACATACAGAGGGATGGATGAGGTCTAGATGATGGAGCGAGTGCGGGTATTGTAAGAGGCGGTCAAAAAAATAGCCACTACGCATCACTGCCACTATACTCTCACTCAATAACACCTAATTTTTCGCCGCAAATTTATTGTACAATTTATTCTTCTCGCGTGCACTCTCGAGGACACTTGGTTACCCACCCACTGTCCGTTTTTTCTTTACGTGCCTTAGTGCCATAAATATGTTTGCCATCAGCCATTTAAAAAAGAAAACTAATTTCTGCAGCACAATTGTTGCTTTTTCAGCTGCCTCGCCAATATCGACGGTAGGAACTGCCTAGCACCTTGCCTTGGGAGCAGCAACAACACCAGATGACGATGTTTGCGGTAAGCAGTTGCCGTGTATCGAAGAACAGCAGGTTGAAGAGTAAGACTTGGCATGTGACATGTGGCAGGTTGTTAGCTTCTGCTGCCAATTTAAGTTTCTGTAAGCATATTAATCATACGTGCCAGCAGCGAATTATCAGCGACACCGCATTCGCTCGCCTGCCTCTAATTCCGGTTCGGAAAAACGGCGCTTATCTAATCTGTGGCGCTTGAAAGTCTGGGACTTCCACGACTATTTACGGGTATTGTGCCTGCGTTTTGCTATTGCTGTAGCAGGAGTTGCAAAGACTGTGATGCCGGCACGACAAAATCGCATTTACTTGGCGAACAGATTTATGGCAAGCGCCACGGCTGACTTAGATACCGAACGCATGAGCAATGAAGCCAACTAGCAACAGAGGATGTGAACCTGTCGGAGCGGCAACTACGCAAGGAACTTTACTTACATACTCGTACTCGTATTTATAAGAGTGCAGTGTGTGGGCTTGGGGCACGGCATCGAACAGTTGTCAATAGCACAAACGCCATAGCAAGAAATAAAATGCCACAATGAAGCTGATAAATGCTCTTTGATAAGGGGGCAGTTGTCGACCCCCTGGACCGCCAAAACATCCCAGTGCCCCCAGACACACCACCCATATGGAAGGAATGTCTCTCAGGCCTCGAATCTGACGTAAAGAACACTTGTAATCCGTCGTAGCTCTGCTGTAAATATTTTTGGTGGGCGGTTAAAATTGCAGCTACGGAATTTGGAGCTTGTGTAAAAGGTTTAACGCAATGTGTATAGCTAAGCACTATCTTGAAAAGTTAGACGGGACCTTGGAAGAGTTTGTGGGTCGCCTTCCATTATTTCAGGCTTAAATTTGTTTTAAGCTTTAATTGAGGACCCTGCCAAGGTTGTCAAATTGCCAAAATATACTCAAATGTTAAGCTGCAATCAAAATAAAGACAGCAGAGACAATAAACAGAAACACTAATCGAGGTTATTCAGAGATATCACAAATATCACTTTTATTCAATTTCCAAGATGGTGCCTAAATCTGGTCGAAGTTTTCACACTTATGTGTATACAAGTACATATATGTATTAGAATGTCACTACCAGAAAATTAAGTTTTTTAATCAAATTTACTTTTAAGGAGACATATGTACATGTATTCTTGATGCCCATATTGAAATTACCATACTTTTCGCCCTGTTAGGTTCCATAGCATAGTAAGTAGCATGCTACTTACACGAAAGTATGCTTGGGCGTTTTTTTAATTGTACCCAGAAGCGAACTACTAAAGTACTATAGTCGTACGAAAATACTTCAAATAAAAACGTTGTGGAGTCAACAAAGTGATTCAACAAAGTATTCCTAGTTACAATCATCGGTCATGTCAAGCTTGTTCATGTTCTCCTTAATACAAACAAGTGGAAAAGCTGAAGTCGGGTATCCCGACTTTGAAATACTCTGCCCATATGAGTACAATAATCATAGAAATTAATATAATTAAGAACATTAAATAAAAATGTTCATCAATTTTACCTCCCTTGGTATTCGAACTCACGTAAAGGGTGTATAATTGCACAATTACATAGAAATTGTGTCTATGTGAGTGTATGCATGTCTATTCGTGTCTGTGTAAGCATGTATGCAGCACAAAGTCAACCAAAGCAGCGGCAACAACTGAGGGCAGCGCTTGAGCAGAGAGAACCTATGTATGTATATATAGTGATATCATGATGAAAGTTAGCATACGGACTGGAAGTATTTGCCAAATTTGACTCCACAATTCAGAGAATTACGGGAGGTATGGAAAATCACTAATAGGGGGCATGGGGAGAGGTATGCCTAGCTCTCATAGTCTCCGAGATATAGGTGATTATACAAATGGAAAATCGGGAAAACCCCCATAAGTGAAGTGGGGGAAAATCAAAAAATTAAAACGAATTTGCACAGCGTACACACATAAGGCACCTTTGGCAAAATTTGGTGCCTCTAACTTCTATAGTCGTGAGATTCATGTGTTCTTACGCACGGACGGTTGGCCGGACAGACAGACAGGGCTAGATCGACTCGTCCTGTCATGCTGATCAAGAATATGTATACTTTTTGCGGTCTACCACGCCTCCTTCTGCCTGTTACATTTTTCAGCTCGCGCAAACCTAATATACTCTTGTACTCCCTATGGGAGTTTTCCCGATTTTGCATTCCTGTAACCGCCTATATCTCGGAGACTACGCAAAAAATGTGTATTTTGGAATTTCCCTCCCTCTCCACCGCAATCCGTAACTCCCGTAATTCTTGGATTTTCGAACTCAAACTTGGCAAATACCTTCAGTTAGCGAGTATAAGTCCAAATGCCAGTTTCATAATGATAGGTCGATTTAAAAGGAAGTTATAGCCATATATGTACATGAGACCAAGCAGTGCCCTCAGCTTAATGTGACTACCAAATTTTAGTTCAAAATTTCAAGAATTACGGGAGTTATAGAAAATCGTAAATAGGGGGGGAGTGGGGGGTTGGATCAGAAAAAATGAACAAACTCGTTCTCTCTCGGGCTCAGGAGAATCTGTATACCAAGTTTGGTTATTCTAGCTCTTATACTTTCTGAGATCCTTGCGTTCATACAGACAGACAGACGGACAGACAGACAGACAGACGGACATGGCTATATCGACTCGGCTTGTCATGCTGATCAAGAATATATATACTTTGTGGGGTCTGCCACGCCTCCTTCTGCCTGTGACATTTTTCAGCTCGCGCAAACCTAATATACTCTTGTACATTTCATGTGCAGAGTATTCCCCGACACTTTCCCCCTATGGGAGTTTTCCCGTGTCTATTCCTGTCTGTGTTAACATGTTTGCAGTCAACCAAAGCATCAGCATCAACAACAGCTGCGGGCAGCGCTTGGGCTGCAAATATATTTATGGCTATAACTTCCTACTAAATTGGTCTATTATGATGAAACTTGGCATACGGACACATAATCACTAACTGGGGGCATTTGCAAAATTTGAGTTCGAAATTACGAATTACGGGAGATAGATTTGTGGTCGAGAGGGGGGAGGGAGGGAAATTCCAAAATACACATTTTCTGAGTATTCACATAAGGAATCTTGGACTAAAATGTGTCTTAAAATGTGTCCCTAGCTCTTATAGTGTTCGAGATATAGGCGATTATACGAATGGAAAATCGGGAAAACCCTCATAGAGGGGCAGTGGGAGGGAAAATCCAAAAAATAAAACAAACTTGCACAGCGTACACACATAACGCATTTTTGTCCAAAATTTGGTGTCTCTAGCTCTTATAGTCTCTGAGATCCAGGTGTTCATACGTACAGACAGACAGACAGGGCTAGATCGACTCGTCTTGTCATGCTCATCAAGATTATATATACTTTGTGGGGTCTGCCACGCCTCCTTCTGCCTGTGACATTTTTCAGCTCGCGCAAACCTAATATACTCTTGTACATTTCATGTACAGAGTATAATTAATTAATTGGGACAAGAAGCGTCTACATGCCTGGTCTGCGCTCAGCCGTTACTAGACAGACGGACAGGATCCGATAGTGCGTACACGCTTTAGAACTCCCGTAGTTCTAAGACTTTTTAACTTATTTTACTTTTACTTGATCGTACCTTTTAACCTATATGGTATAGACTCTGCCCTGGTCTCACACCTTACCCTTTCCACCTTCAATATATGTACAAGTATAATTATCTTGCCCTTATGCCTTAACGTTTCACCACCTGCTATTTTCAACATCAGCAAGCAACTCCCATCTGTTGCCTTCCCAAAAAGACTTACCGTATAGCGCAGTACATGGAGACGAGCAACGCTGTAGGCAGAATGACAATAACCAGGCCTATGGATACAGCAAAAATATTCAAATAGCCTGCAGATATATGAGTGAACAAGAAAGCATTAATTAGTCAAGTACGTCGTATAGAAATCCTACAATGAAATTATGCACTCACCGTCAAAGTCCACCAGTGGGTCCTCAGACAAGGCTGTAGCGTTACTGATACTCTCTGGAAGCTGACTGACATTGAACGTCAGTGGCGCTATGGCGGTGCCTGAGACTGAGCTAGTCCCGTTTCCAAAATGTTGCAAGAGAGTTGCATTCAGTATCTCTACCCCAGGTAGCTCTTCTCGCCTCAGGTGGCTGAGCCTGCGGTCGAGCGGTTGATCCATTCGATGAGCCGGATTCTCAAAGGGGTACGAGCCTTCGACGCCGTCAAAGCCACCACCGGCACCATCATCAATCAAATCGCCGCCATATTGTATAGAGCTCTCAGACTCACGATTGCCATCCATAACATCAGGGTCGCTGCCAACTATACTATTGCCTTCAATGTCGTTCTCATATATCCCAATGCTTCCTTGGACGCCTAACTCGCCAGGCATGTAGTCTATTTCCTTTAGCTCAATCTGTGGCGGCAGCTCTCCAATAACGGGAACACCAATGGCCAAATCTGGAAGAACCGCCGGTTGTATGACAATGTCCGGTAGGGGATGTGTGGGCACTAGTGTAGGTGACAATGCGGTGGTTAGTCCAGCCCCCGGCGACCCCGTTCCTGACTGTGACTGCTCCACTTCAATGACAGACTCTCCTACATAAGTGACATCTAACGGTGGTGAACCATCCCCACCTGTAGAGGTGGTACGAAAGATCTTCAGAGAATCACCAGTATTGTGCAATGGCGACAATATGATATCCTCTTCGAAGCGCTGCTGATGAATTGCTGACGCCGGCGGCGGTGTCAGCGATGTGCGTTGTTGATCTGCATAGTTGATGGGGAAGAACTGGTTCTCGAACTGGAACTTGCGCACTTGCTGTTGTTCGCTGCCTGCGGCAGCTGCGGCTTCGAATGGACTGGTCGTGGGTAATGACTCCCCCACTTTCACCTCAGTGTTGGATATATAGAAAATTGTATCTGAGTCGCGATCAATGCTGGCCTTGCGTGGAGGCGGTGGTGGTGGTGGTGGCGGTGGCCGTAGTAGACCGTCCTCCACTCCCGATTTTAAGTCTGCCATGAATAGCTCATCTGCATCCTGCGGTGAACGTAAAATGGACTGCAAAGCTGGTGGGGGAACATGCTTCGCATCGGCAGCCGGATCTGAATGAAATGTTAAGATCGGATTGATATTGATGTGTTCGGCACTAACCGAGCTTTCGGTAATGTTGTCACCGGTGTCAATTATTTCGACCACCAGGATTTCATCGCTACGCTCGCGACTCATTCCGCCGGATCTAGTTGGCAAGCTAACACTGTGCTCCCGTTCATTTAGAGTCTCGGGCAGCTGACGATAGGAAAACTCTAAGTCTTCACTCTCGTTCCCAAAAGCCTCGGATACATTAATATGTATTTCGATGGCTGCAGGTTCGGGCCTTCCAAACGCAGGTCCCCCTGCGTTCTGTACGCCACTGGACTGCTGCGTGGATACATCGGCCCTATCAATAACATATTGCGTGAATCGCTCCTGCTGTATGGCCGATGTGGGCGGTCTATTAGTGCCCACTGCAGACTCTTGTGGCAGCGCATAAGAACCCTCGGTATCACGGAAATTGGTGGAGGCCACAATAGAGTCTACTGTTGAATCATAGACTTCAATCTGAATGTCTGATATTTTTGATTCGATGCGTGGACCATTCAACTGCTTCCCCTTGGACGTTGTCGGCAAATGTGTGGTGCTCGATGGTAGCCCGAACACCTGGAAAACTGTTGTGCTCAGCATGGCAGCGTTGGTGCTATTACTATCGGTCGCAGTAGAAGGTTGTACCCTCTCCATGATTGATTTCATAGCAGGGGGTTGCGTAGGCATTGCTGTTGGCGTAACATTTGATCTCTTTTCAACAACCTCTTTAGGCGCTATTATCTCTATGATGCGTCCCTTACGCAGCTGCGTTTCAATGAGTGGTGCATGCGGTTTTTTTAGGGGATGCACCACCCTGCTGAATGTTTTCTCGCCCATGAGTATCGGTCCAAGATAGCCGTTATGTACAGGCAGCAGGCTACTTAAAATATAAGGTTTATTTATATTGCCAGTTGTTGTTGTGCTAACTTTTTCTGCTGGGTTTGGTGTAGTTGGTATGCGTTCTATTTCTGTTTCAATTATTGTGGTTGCCACCCTTGTCGAGCTCTCTGTGCTGCTACTTGTAGTCGATGCTGTGATTGCTACTGTTGGGGCAACTAAGGCAAGAGGTTCAAAGTGCTGCTGGCGAAGCTGCTTCTTCTTAGTGCGCTTCAATCCATCATGTCCATCATTATTGTCTAGAGTTGGCGCTACCGTTCGCTGCTGCGCCTGCTGCGTCGGCGACATTTGCTCTAGATCGATAAGCTGCAGAGCAGCCTCCGGAGAAGCTTGTGGAGGTGGCAGTCCTTTGGTGGTTAGTGATGGAATTATGGTGGCTCTGTGTGTTTTTGAATCCGTCGGGGTTGGCAAAACAATATGATTGACTTGTTCTTGCCAGCTTGTCTCTATGCCGCTGACATTTCTGGAGGAGCTGGTGCTAGTGTTCGTAGGCAGGCTCTGAATCTGCCTTATCTGCGATCCGCAAGCTGCTCTGGCGTCAATTACCTGAAGTGGCGTATCCGTGCTGCTTGTATGGATGCTTTCGGTGGCTTCAGTAATATTAAGCGTTGCCGGCAAACTAGACTTCAGCGTCGCTGCCTTCGATGGTTGTGATTCCGACGGCACAGAAGTAAGCACCTTCGCATCAGTTTCAGTAACACCGCTTGCGGCTGCCAGGACAACAGTCGACGCTGTCCTTGTTGATTGCACCCGCGTCCGCAGCGACTTCGCGTTCAAATCCTTTTCACCAGATGTCACAATCAAGGTGGGTGTGTCGCCTTGCACGCCGAACTCTAAGTGATGCGGTGCAGTGGCGACCACTACGGCTGCTGCTTTGATAGTGGGGGCACCGTGTGCAGTGGGTAGCGGCGGCGCCACAGCAAGAAGGAGCAGCAGGAGCAGCGGTAAGGGAGACAAAATCTTGGAGATGATGCCCGATTGACTACACCTACAGCCTGTTATTTGCATTTTGTGGGTTATATCTTTTGCTATTTGAATTGAATTAGCCTCCGTCCTCGTACTTTTTGATTACACTTTCTTGCTATCGGCTCTCTTAGTTTAGACACGCGTTTTGGTTGCAAAGTTTAGCTTAGTTTTGATTTTGTTTTCTGTTTCATGGGCTGTGCCTCAAAAAGTTTTACGGCGCTGGCCTTTTTATTTTGAGTTTATAAGTGTGTGCTGTAGTTGCAACTAGTTTGTTCTTCTCTCTCACTCTTTTCTTCATTACCAAGGCTCTTCATCGTCGGCGTTGCCGGCATTGTCCACCTCGTTGTTGCGTCATCACCAAGCCATTCAGACTACCGCTGCTTCTTCATAAATTCAAAGTCGTAGTATTTTCAATGTAAGCACGTTCTTTTGTTTGTGTTTTTGTTGATTTCGGTAATGTAGCTGTCACACTGTGGGGCCATTTTCTTTTTGCAGCTCCAAGGCTCAGCTGCTTTTCCTCCCCCCGTCTCTATATTTACTTATGCTGTTCTTGTTCTCTTGGCTTCTCTTCCTTTGATTAAACTTTGCTCAAGCTTAAATAAAATTTAAAATAACGAAGTCCGCTGAAATGCGTTGCCAAACGAAAACGTAATCGACAGCGACTGCGACTATGACTCTGACTCTCAATGAGACGTTGACTGTGGGGTGTGGATTGTTATGTAGGGGTGCAGATCCTTCCACAAAGCACTGCGTTTGTTGCGGCCGTTGTCTAGAAATGAAAGGTAAACAATGCAACGATACTGGAGAGCATACAATGAAAAAAAGGGGCTTGAGCCAATCCAAACAAAGCAAACAATTTTATCTTTGTACTGATGGTGCGCTCTGCGCTAAGCCCTTTCATGCTGAGATTATATTTGTAGCTGACATGCCACGAGAAACTCGAGTAATTGCTCCACGTACCAAACCATAAATAAATCAATGGCTTTAATGAGGAATTCAACTTTTAATGCAAATACTTCTGGATATTTCTTGCAAAAACAAACCCACCAAGAAAGTGGAAAACCCAGTTCCAATACCTAAATACGTACTGATTTTCGCATTGGCTTTATTCTTTATCTTAATACTTAAGCCACATATCATTTATCATATTGTTCACAAGTGAGAAATAACGTGTTACAAAACTACATTTTATGGCGTTATACCACTAAGGCTTCGAAAAGATCCAAAAAATAAATTGGAGACAATTAAGCACCAAAGCGCCTAAAGTAATGGCTTTGGAAAATTTTTTTGGACGTGTTGTGTCTATTCTTCGCTTCCCTTGAAATTGTCATGCAGATTTAGCAATCCTGGATTATAGAGCAACCGAATGAAAGCTTTCTAGAACATAATTTACATAAAAAAGTTGCAGCCGCAGCCTTTAAAGGGATAAAAGAACTGTTATCTACAACCATGTCTGTCCATCTACTATACATTCACAATTTTCATAAGGCATCATCATCAAAGTCATAGCCATCAACGGCAGCCTAGTCGTTATCAGCAGGCCATCGGCAGCTCGACAAGCGGCGGCGTCTAAGGAACTCCAAAATCAATAGCAACAGCAGAAAACCCATCAACTCTGGACGCCTTTAACGTGTCGTCTTGTAGTTTGCAAATATGCTTAACACTGAGCAATATTCTAATTCTAAAAAAAATAAACAACGTTTAAGTCGCTTCAGGAAAGAACTACACAGTCCTAAATAACAAGTTTGGTTTCAATAGAAAAGTTGTTGTAACAAGAGTGGCTTTTCACTGATCGCTCCTATGCCAAATATGAATAGTGTATAAAATAATGGGAGTATACTCGTATATGGTTTCTGGTAATCTTGGTCTGGATGCCACACTGCCTCATGGCAACACATCAACATCAAAATCAACAGCACATAGGCTGCGGCTTTACATTGGAGGCGGCGCTCGAGGTTTGGGACAGTAAATGAAAGTTTGAAAATATTTCTGTTGCTGCTCCTTTTGAGCAAAATTAGGATTAGGATGGTAGAAAAAAAGAAAAACAGAAACTGGAGAACAAAAAACAACTGCAGGCATAGTCAACTTACCGTCGGCTGCGCAGCTTTTCTGGTCGAGGCTCCCGCGGCCAGTTATTGCTGCGAGTTTTGAAGTGCCTCGCAAGGTAATCCAAGGGTCCCTGCAGAGGCGAAAACAATCGAAATGGCAAAGTGTGGTCTGAGCTTGGGGAGTTTTCTTTCCTTCTCCAAAAACTTGTTCACAAAAAAGATCAATTTTGTTTCGCTCTGTTCCTTGGTTATACTCTGTGGCCCCATACGCGTATATACAAGTCTGTATGTATGCACGTGTATGTGTTTTTGCTTTAATTTGTCACTGTAAAAGCAGATTAAAAAAAATTGAAAAAAAAAGCACGAGTGCGGGAACACGCGCAACAAAATTCGCCTTGGCACGCCCGGCGCACATCGGGAGACACCAACGCACACAAACACACGCGCTCGCACGTAACGCGTAATTGTTGTTATGTGGTTACAACAATAACAATAGCAATAGCAACAGCAACAACAATCGCAACAATACACGCTGCCGTTTTTTTTTTTCTATTTTTTCCTTTTTTACGGAAACGATAAACAAATAAATTGAAATTTTTATATATGAACGTATGAAGAGATGTAAAGGTTTTCTTTCGTTTTGCACAGTTTTGGCTTGTATTTATGCCATCAAGATAGCCATTGCAGCCTCGATTTTAATTTCAGTTTTTCTTGTCTCTCTTCTTACAATTTCGAGTTGCCCCACGAACAAGTTTATCGCTTGAGTTGGTGGTGGTTATGGGCTAGTCCTATTACTGCTGTTGCTGCTGTTGCGACCTTTTGCTCCGAAAACCGCACGCAAACTGTGCAAATTTCTCTAGCATCCTTTACATAAAAGGACTTGGATATCCGAGTGACAATTCAGACCATGCTCCTGCTGCTCCTGCTGCTGCTTCCGTGGCAACGAATTTGATGACGAGTCTGCGTACTGGTTGCTGGTTCGTGTCTTGGCTATATTGTCTCTGCAGCCAACTTTCGTGCACTCTTTTGGAATGATGGAAATCTTGCTACCATTTCATTACTTGTTCAAATGAGTATGACCTCTATCAATGCCTGTAATGCATTCATTATCCAATTATTTGCAGCTCCAAAGCAACTTGCAATTAGGGTACGCTTTTACGACTTTAGACATGCTTTTCACGAAAGCACTATTCCAGTCTCCCTGCGACTAATGTCGCTTGCGTTTCATAGCAGTCTCCTTTTGTGTCCGTTTTCACTTTTCACCACAGCTATTTTTTTTCAAAAGCTTTCACATAGCTTTCTCACCACACAAATCTGCAACGAATACCGAAAAGCTCTACATATCAGTGTGCAAGAAAATAAAACATACTTTTGGGCTGATTCAAATAAATTTAAGCTCATAGTAGTTGTCATAATACATACTATATAATAATTCACATATAATTCTGTTATTACACGGCAGATTGGTTCCAGAAAATCCGTATACAAAACCCGCTTAACAAAATACATCGTATCGTATGCTAAAACAGGTGATTGGTTCCTTATCTTTAAAATTAGTAATGTGTATTTACACAAGCATAGTAATTAAGCAGATATGCACTCTAAGCTTAAAAGTATGTTATGAAAATTAAATGTATAATAAGTTCAGGAACTGAAAATAATTGTGTACATACATAGGTATCATCAGTGTCTTTGGTGCATTCGTTGCTATTAGACGTGTCGCGCTTGCACTAAGTTCTATTCTATTCTATCGGTTACGGTTAACTAAGATAAGACACTAAATCACAAACAAAGTGTGCCTTGCCCTCTGGGCGAGACTTTTCTCCCCGCCCGCCCTTCCCGCAGCTGCGTAGGAGGGGCAACGAAACCTTATCAGCGTATTAAACATTTGTATTGTTAAATATTGGGCAATTGCAATATTTTATAAGAAAATATTGTATTTTGTCCAAAAATGGATGAGGCAGATACTTCCGCTCACTCACAGCTTTATAACAAGCTGCCCGAGTATGAGAAAATGAAGAAATTAGCTGGTGCACCTGGAGAATTACGTGCCACCTTGGCCAGTGACTTGATGAAGTCAATTAGAATATCCAATTACAATAGTGCCTCGATAGCAAGGACTACAAACACAACCACTACCAGCACCTTAACATTTTCTAATGGAAGCTGCTAATCCAACTACACAGTTGACTGTACATTTCAAATGCCGATGGTCTCTCTTCGTAAAAAACAAAAAAGAGCGGACAAAGAATTAAAAGCAGTCAAAACAATTCAAAAAATTAAGCCAACACAAACTAACCAAATAAAAGGAATTCAGCACAATATCTCTGCCAGCACCAGTTCGGCAGCACTGCAAAATAATCGCTTCGCAGCCCTTGCAGACGAGGCCGACACTTTAATGGAATATGATGAGCAAGTTCAACAACAGGAATTCGAGCCCAGCCAACCAAGTGAAGCTAGCAATGAGCAACAAAGGAACGCAGTATCAAAGCCTCCAGCTATCTGCGTGCCACAAGTTGACAAAATGGACAAACTAGAGCAGGCACTCAATTCTGTTGTCTCAGCTGACGATTACGATATTCGCACGTCGAAATCTGGGATCTCGCGTATTTATACGAAGAATTCCAATGCGTTCCGTGCAGTAGTAAAATTATTGTCGATACAAAATTGTGAATTCTGGCACCATCAGTTGAGGGAGAACAAACCCTGCAGATTGGTGCTCAGAGATATTCATCCCA